GTAGCAATCCCCGACAACTGACTTAGGTACTGCAGTTAAGCTTTTTTTTTTTTTTTTTTTTTTTTAAATCAATTTTTCCTGTGTTTGTACAAGTGTTTTCTTTTCTGGACATAAAGTATGTCATTTTTTTTTTTTTCTTGCCCAGTAGGAGTGGATAGACTTGCCTATCATCCGGTTCACACTCCTCTTCAGTCTCTTGAACAGGAGTAGAAGTCTATCCGTCATTTCTTGTTTGGGTTTCAGTTCCTTCTAAAATTCTTTTCATTCTCTTTCACACCCAGTATCCCCTTGTATCTTAGTGGCATTATTGCCTTGCTTCGAGTGAATTGATTTAAAAAAATATTTAAAATTCATATTTGAAAAAATAATTATGAATTTTACATATTGCTTAAAATATGTTTGATTTTCTTTGGCATTGATATTCAGAAAACTTAAAACGATTACTTGGTTACTTGTTTTAGTGCATCATTTTACTTAAAATCATTGCCCCATGAGGCAAACAATAGTTGGTACATTATTTAAAAAATTAACCATAAATAATCAACGATGACATTTTATACTGTCATTTATATTATTGCCAACTAAAACTGTTTTTATGTAAGTCATTAAGTAATTGTTATAAGTAATGTGTTTAATCAAAATAAATACTGATGATGATTCCTGTGAGTAGAAACTTGGACATTTTTTTTTTTTACATCTACAACAGCTACATCCATGAGAAGTTATTTGCATATTAGAAAAAAATGGTGAATTTTTTTTTTTAATATATATTATTAAGCATAGTATATTTATGCATTAATCTATCATTGAGACATGTTCTATTGAAACTAGATTGGCAATTAGGTCTCATCATTTTACTGTTTAAATGGCAAAATGTAACCATAAGTTCTATGCTAACAGTTTCTTTTATCACACTTCTTGCTTGTGGAACTCTCTTCCGGCTTCTTGCTTTCCAGTCAACTTTGATCTTCAAAAATTTAAATTTAATGTCAATTGTTATTCTCCGTTTTTTTTTGTTTTTTTTTATTCTTTTTTTTTTTTTTTTAATTGTCATCTCTATTTAATAGTAGTTTTTCTCTAACACTCAATAACCCATTGCATCCTAGTGACTTTATTTCCTTGCTTAGGGTGAAATGATTAAAAAAAGAAAACTAACAAAAAAACTGTCCAATTGTTCTATATATTTGAACACTTTAAGCTATTCTATTAGGAATTTGTTAAACACCTAAATCCAAAATTACGATGCCAAAAAGGCAGGAAAGATGAGTAAGTATAAAAATTAGAAATCGCTAGTCCAATACAGTCAACAAATCCAAGTCCCCCGATTCGAATACAGTGAACTCACAAACCAAAAATAGTATCTCCCTCAAGAAAAGCAACAGCAAATTACCGTAGGTGAGATAGTAATTATTTGGAATTTATTTTTATTTCTTTTATTATTTATTATATTAGTACTCTATACTTTATGTCTAAAAAAGAAAACACTTACAGAAACAAGAAAAATTGAATTAGAAGCTTAATTGCAGTACTTTGTCAGTTGTCTTTAATGAGATTGATTTATTTATTTATTTACATATATATATATGTGTGTGAAGAAATATAGTTTTAAGGTGTGCTATATTTATGGGATAAAGTGCTCAATATCAGAGATACAGTGCATGAAAATATAAAAGTGAACATTGAAGTCAACACTCAGAGGCGACACGCTGTTTCATGCTAGGCGCAATCATCAGTCAGCTATGTGCCATGTGTGATACACGCTTAGGTGATCATGTATCAGGCCACCTGGCGATTGTGTCTAGCATGAAACAGCCTGTCACTTCTCAGTGTTGACTTCAATGTTCACTTTTTATATATATATCTATAAGAACACAGGATTATATATCTTGCTGTTCTTTCTTTTTATATATATATATATATATATAGTCTGTTTCATGCTAGACACAATCGTCAGGCCTAACGATTGCATCTAGCATGAAACAGACTGTCGCCTCTAAGTGTTGTCTTCTATGTTCACTTTTTTATATATATATATATATATATGATATTACACCAAAAACATGTCAAAATTGCTACACAATTGCAGTTGTGTTTCAATGTGTATCAAATGCATCTCCTCATATATTATTGGTGAGTGAATGATTTATTTAGATTTAAAAGCAAAATACCTCTTTTTACAAAAAAAAAGTGGGGTGAGGATTATAAGTTTTGTGGGCTTTACTCAGATCAAACAATCAAATATGACCTACATTAAATTTAAACTAAACAAAGAAGCAAAAATTAAAAAATAATTTTTTTTTATAAATGATTCGTGACCCATAAATTGGCAGCAAACAACAGAACAGACATAAACAGATACATAAATGGATACAAAAATTATACAAACTAAACAATGCCATTACCTAAGAAATAAGAATTGGGTGGGGAGGTAATTTAGCAAAATGCTAAACAAGTCACGTGCTTTGTGAGTTTTCTCCATGAAATTTTTTTTATGGATTATAAATAAATAGCTTCTTTAAGAAACTAGTAAATAATTTAAATGTACAGAATTATTTGGTAAATTAATATGCAACTGTAAAATAGAGATTCTTCATATAATATGTTAATAACAATAACCAATCAGTGCAAAATGTCAAAAATACCAACCAAATACCAGAACTGAACCCTTTATTTAGTTCATGGGAGTAGATAGTTCTAATTCCATGTACCATGGAATTTTTAAATGAACCCTTTTAGTCCACAGAGGTAGATTGTTCTAATTGAGAGTATGACCTAGTGGATAAAAGCATTGGTTGAGTGATCCAAAAAGTGACTTGACCCAAAGAGTTATGAGTTCAATACCTGGTCACAGCAGAGGGAACAAGAACTTGGAGAGTTCAGTTACTAAAGGGAGATAACTGATGCTGAGACATCCAAAAAAGGCTTAGTATGGGGGAATTAGAACAATCTACCCCTGTGGACTAAATAAAGAGTTCAGTTCAAAATTCCAACGTATTTCACCTGAAGAAGACCGGAGTGTACAACAGCTGAAACATCATGGATATGTCAATAAAGATGAGAACAGTCCAAACAATGTAAATAGTGTTAAAAAAATACCTTAGTAGGGAGTAAACGACAAAATATATCTTGGAGTTATCATTATTTACACTAAAACTATTGTTTTTGTTTTTCTTGTTATTCTTACAACATTTCTGTATTCTGGCCTTTATCAAGTGCTTTTTAGTACTATCAAATCCCACAGACATTTATAGTTTACTGTTGTAATGGAATGTCCCACTCTCCCTATCGCATATATGGACTGACTATATCTGTGTGTGTATATATATATATATATATATATTTGAACAATAAAAATTTAAAATTAAAATCATTAGACACACTGGGTTGTAGATTAATATTCTTTTTTTTTTTTATTATTATTATTCCATTTAGATTCCTCAACTAGTTTCACGAAAATGGCCATCATCGGGAGGAGAAATATTTCTGCTTGCTGTTAGCAGTGAACTACAGAAATCCTTACTATATATATATATATATATATATATATATATATATATATATATATAGTAAGCACAGGATATACCTGGCGGACTTGCTTTGGCAATTAGTTGGAGATTCATTTCCAGCTGTGCTGGTCAAACTCTCTGCCTCTGGGTGGAGAGGAACCCAGACAAGGCTATGCTGAAGGGCAGAGTCTCATCTGGGGTGGTAGCTACCCAACCCCATGTATATAGAGTCTATGGGGAACTTTTGCCCAAGCCTACGGGCTCAGTTTTGCTCTGCATTAAAAAAACAGCCTCGCGGGGATGTAAGGTAAATAGCCTTGCTTCGGGAATTACTAGCCTGCTAACTGATTCCCTGTCTTTCAGTAGTGTATTCTCTTTTACAATAAACCTCTCTTTCTTTCATCTACACCCATGTTGCTGTTCCTTTCACTTGAGTACCACCTTTGCCTGTTTGTAACCTTCTTTAAGGATACAACAGTTATCAAGTCCAATGTTAGAGGCTTTTGGAATGAACTCCTTCCACTAGAGTTCACCTGTTTTTAGACAAAGAAAGGTCATTAATATCTTATTGAAAAACATGCAATCAATCAATGTCAGAGGTTTGCAAAATTCTTAAAATAAACCATCCAATATACCCAGAGGGGGGAGACACAGAGGGAGACCAGATGACAAGAGAGGTGAAGTCTGATTGTAATCCTTCCTTCTGCTACTCTGACATCTCTTCATCTATTGTGAATTACTGCTAGAATAATTTTCCTGCTGAAATACCATCAATGAGGCTACATGGAAAGATTAATGATTCTTCAAATAGTTATCCTTAAACTCATTGTTAAATGTCAACAGAGTTTGAATTGTGCTTTGAAATTAGTTTTTGAAAAGAACTTAACTGTGAGGATTTTACACATAGAATCTCCACAAACACTGGAGATATATATATATATATATATATATATATATATATATATATATTATTTATTTTTTATCACAAGCTAGGCAGTGAAGCCACTTAGGTACAATGACTTACTGGGTGTTGGAAGAATCAGAAAACAGAAACATTATTAAGGAATGAAAGAAAAGTAATCAGAAGGACAGTAGATGGCAATTGACATTGCAGTTAAACTTTTGCAGATTAAAGTTGGCTGGAAAGCATGGAGCCAGAAGGGAGTTCCTCAAGCAAGAAATGCGAATGTTAGCATAGAATTTACAGTTACATCTAACCAACTCAACTATAAATTGGTGAGACCTCATAGAATCTGGTTATTGGAGGCCATAGCATCTTTGGCATTGATATATAAATTAGATTTGCCTGACATAAGTGTTATAAATAAGGTTTGAATTTTGGGTAGAATAATACTGATATTTATCCAAAGCTCCAAATATCAGGTATTTTATAAATCTTTAACACAAGGTTAATCACTCAATGACATTATGTCTCTGCAGCTGAACACAGGTTTATTACTGGACAACTTACGGTATTGTTTCTTTTTATTGCAGGCACTGAAGGATGCTTACCACTTGAAAAAGAAGGCAGTTGAACTGAAGAATCGACATGAATGGCAGGATGAGGAACTGTCTATCATTCGGAAGCTAAAACTTCGATTTTTCACTCCCAGAGAAATTTCCAACCTTCTCTGCTTCCCAGAATCATTCAGTAAGTACTTCCACTGACTTTCTTCCCTTTTTCTTTTTTTTTCTTTTTTCTTTTTCTTTTCTTTTTCCTTTTTCTTTTTTCTTTTCTCTTTTTCTTTTTTCTTTTCTTTTTTCTTTTTCTTTTTTCTTTTCTTTTTCTTTTTCTCTTTTCTTTTTCTCTTTTCTTTTTTTCTTTTCTTTTTTCTTTTTTTCTCCTTTTTCTTTCTTCTCTTTCTTTCTTCTCTTTCTTTCTTCTCTTTCTACTCTTCTCTTTCTTTTCTTTTCTTTTCTCTTTCTTTTCTTTTCTTTTCTTCTCTTTTCTCTTTCTTTTCTTTTCTTTCCTTTCTTTGGTGGGGCGATATTAATGGTTTAGTAATGCAAGTTTTACTAATTAACCCATAACTGGGCAGCAAGAAGAGGTGGATTCATACCTAATCAGAATTTGATAAACAAGAAATTATAGGGAATATAAAATGGGGGATCAATTCTATATTACAATCAATATATAAACTGATCCCTCAATTGTGTCTATGTTAGTTTCTATACATTTATATTTTGGAGAATGTAAATAAATCTAAAAGACATGCCTGTATAGCTAATCAGTATTTCATTTTCTACGGCTTATCAGCAAGAAATTATAATGTGGATAGAAAGTGGGGGATCAATTCTACATTACAACCAATATATAAACTGATCCCTCAAATTGTGGCCATGTTTCTATTCCAGTGAATGTAAATAAATCTAAAAGACCTGCCTGTGTAGCTAATTAGTATTTCATTGATTGATTCATTTTCTACGGCTTATCAACAAACAAATGTAAAAATGTAACTGCAATGATAATCATTATCTTCTTAATTCCTTTAAATTCTTTTATTGTCCTCTCTACTTAATTCTCTATATTCTTTGACACTCAGTAATTCCATGTCTTAGTGGCTTTGTTGCCTTGCTTGAGATAAAATAATTTAAAAAAAAAGTCTATTTCTTATTCTCATCCCCCACAACTTTCTTTTTGTTGTGGTACCTAATATTTTTTTGTTGGCAAAATTAATTTTCTTCCTTTTTTTTTTTTTTCTTTCTTTCTAGCTTTTCCCAAAGAGACGACAACACGTCAAAAATACAGAGTTTTAGGTAACAGCCTGAACGTCCATGTTGTGTCTATACTCATTCGGCTACTTTTAATGACCAGTTCTAGCAGAGACGCCAACTCTTGATGACGCTAAAACAAAGATCCTGATTTAGTCGTTTCACTCTACCCGATTCAAAATCCAACCTCAAGACCCCATCATATTGCTAGTGGAAGGTGGACAGATATCTTTATTTACTGTAAGGCTGCATTTTTATTTTAACTCAGCTGTTTCTTGGTTGTTGGCCCAATGGATGATCAGGATAGTTTTGGTTGGAATGGCAGATCCAGAATCTTGGATAAATCAATTTCAATTTTAGAGGCTGACAAACATACTACTTTGGTGCTGTTTTTAACTCTTCCACTGCTGCAGATATACTTATATATCTTTTATGAAACTTACAATGCCTGCTGTTGATATATATATATATATATATATATATATATATATATATACATTTTCAAGACCCTATGAAATGTTAGCATGTGTGTTAATAACAAAGTGGCATTTAGTGCTATTTTCAAACCATTCATGAACATATAGAGTGGTTGTGATATATTTTATTGTTGGGGTGTCGTTTAACTTTGTCTATACTGCAGAGTATCCACTCAAGACAAAAATGGCAGATTGTATAGTCATTTATTTTAGGTAAATAATAATTTCCTATTTTTTTCAAAACAGGCCAGCATAGCCAGGCAACAATGTAGCAGTGTTTGATCAAGTCTTTAATGTATTTGCTACTACTTCTTTTTTTCTACAATCCATTATTACTGTAATGTGTAAAAAGAAAAGAAAATAATTGATGTCTCAATTCAACAACTCTACAAAAATTGTACCATTCCAGAAAATATCAGACTCCTCCTGCCATGTTTTATCTTTACAAGAATCAGATCAGACCAAAAATCTAGGCTGGAGATGCACAATCCTCACATTCCAGCCTCGACAGAGTTCAAAAACTTATTTACACAGCCTTGTGGGTGATGAATTATTTTTAATTCTACAACTCCTTTCCCCACAAATAAAACATTACAAATTCATCGTTACTGGTTAAGCCTTGTTTCCAGGCATTAAAACTTCTGCTGCTGTAGACATACATAGATGTCTTTATGGAAGTTACATTGCCTGCTGTTGAAGTATATATACAGTTTCAAGACACCATGAAATGTTGCTCCCTAGAATATTTGTTAATAACTATAAGTGGTATTTAGTGCTATTTTCAAATCATGCCGACACATATAGACCAGTTGTGTGATATATTATTATTATATACTGTTGGGAGTGTCATTTAGTTTTGTCTATACTGCAAAGTATAGTTAGACATCTTTATCAAACTTACATTGCCTGCTGTTGACATACATATACATTTTCAAGACACTGTGAAATGTCAGTCCCTAGTGTTTGTGTTATAAACTAATTAGTGCTTAGTGCTATGTCCAAACCAGTGAAAACATATAGTAGCATACAATGCAACCTATTTTGTGATATACTTTTATTATATTGTGTGTTGGGGGGGTCGTTTAGCTTGGTATGGACTGCAAAGTATCCAATTCAATGCAAAACAACATCACCCCTTAAAAATCATTGTCAGCATTTTTGTAGCCCTTTATTTCCAATAAATAGCGATTTCTTATTTTTTCCCAAGATGGTCCTGTACAGTCAGACAACAACACTATAAATATAATAATGCAGCAGTGAAACTCTTAATTATTAAATAAAATTAATTACAGAAGATTTTTTAGACTTACATTAGCATTAAAAATCATTCCATTATGTTTTCTATTACCAAAAAGAAAACACTGTTAGATATTTTTAAAGGGATTTGTACAGTAATTGGCCGTGGTTAAATGAATTGGTAGAACTGCCTAACAAACAGAATTGATGAAGATTGCAATAAACAATAAGAAAGAAAAGGACAAGGCAAAAATAATATTAAGCAAATGAACAATATATGCAAGGCAAATCAAAAGGAATAAGGCAAAGCAACAGTCATAAGACAAAACAAAAGGAATAAGGCAAAGCAACAGGAATAAGGCAAAACAAAAGGAATAAGGCAAAAAGTTAACAAACTAAGAATTGGTGTACAAAAGTGGGATACAGACAAGTGATCACAGCATTCTGACTTCAAGACAAGAAATTACAGAACTAAGTCAGATGAGACCAAGAAGTAGCCAAACTTATTGGCTAGGAAGAAATCCCAGCATGCATCTGTATGTTTTGCCTATAAATCTGTAGAGGGGATGTTTATACAATTATTCCTACTGGATTGGAACCAAAATAGACAAACTAAAATTATGTTACAGTTACATGCTGCTTGACAAGCATAGATGCATATGAAGTCTTGTTTGACCAATGAGAAACAAGCAACACAAAAATTTTAAATACCACTAACAAGGCAAAAAGTCTACAAACTAAGAATGCTATTAGCACTCAAAAGGTGATACAAACAAGCCATTGCAGCATTCTGACTTTAAAACAAGAAAGATCAGAACTAAGTCTGATGAGACGAAGAAATAGCCGATCTTATTGGCTAGGAAGATATCCCAGCATGCATCTGTATGATTGCAGTATTCTGACTTCAAAAAAGAACAGAACTAAGTCTGATGAGATGAAGAAGTGGCTGATCTTATTGGCTAGGAAGATATCCCAGCATACATCTGTAGGTTTTGTCTATAAATTTTGGGGGTAGAGTGAGGGTATTTCGCAGTCGTCCCAATGAGGATTGGAACCTCCAGTATTTTTGTAAAATATAAAAGAAATATAAATGCATTATAAAAGAAAATGTCAAGTATTTTATGAGTCGCAATTATACTGTAAAGAAATCAAAATTAATTTGTTATAAAATTAAATAAATTCATCTTATTTAGCTAGCACATTTTGTGCTGCTGTGGTCACCCCCCGCCTCACAATTGGGATTCATGGTGACAGTCAGAATAGTGCAATGACTTGCTGGTTCTTTTTTGCACCAGGAATATTGAGGTTATCCTGTCCCTCCTATGAGGTGGATTTGATTTTTGCTTCTAGTCTTTACCTGAAGAAACAAGACCTACAAGGCAGCAGGTGGTTTGAATTCAGTTTCCTTCTCCTAGACTGGTTGCCTCCTAGAGCTATAGGACCCAGTCTGTCCTATTTTACCCATAACTGGACTGGTGGGGAGAAGAGATGGATCCATACCTTTCCCAAAGGTATTAGTGTGTAAGTGAATGCAATGACTTGACTGGAATTCGAATGTGTCTCTCTGATTCCTCAACCCGAGCTGCAATCCATTACTTTTCGATGACTCTTAATAAGCAAACAAAATAATAAGAAAGAAAAGATGGGTTCATACCTTTCCCAAAAGTATTAGTGCGTAAGTGAATGCAATGAACTCAACTGGAATTCAAACTCGGCTCTCCGATTCCTCAATCCGAGCCACAATCCATTACTCTTCCATGACACCTAATAAGCACACGTAATAATAAGAAAGAAGAGAGAGGTTCATACCTTTCCCAAGGGTATTAGTGCATGAGTGAATGCAATGAACTCAACTGGAATTCAAACTCGTCTCTCCAATTCCTCAATCTGACACGCGATCCATTATTTTTTGATGACTCCTAGCACACATAATAGGAAGAAAGAAAGATAGGTGCATACCTTTCTCAAAGGTACTAGTGTGTAAGTGAATGCAATTAACATGACTGTAATTCCAACTCGTCTCTCTGATTTCTCAATCCGAGCCACAATCCATTACTATTCCATGCCTCCTAATAAGCACACATAATAAGAAAGAAATTGATTTATACCTTTTATTTGTTTCCATTGGACTCTAATGCATGGCATGGTTGATGCGACAGTTCATCTGGGGCTCTGAACCGTATATGGTGGGGACGCATAAAACTGGCATTTTCTGGGTGGTGATTACCAGATGACTTGATTTGGTTTGTCAACTATCTTTATCTCTCACTTGCCTTGGCTTACTGTGGCTGATGAAAACATCAATCAAAAGCCATGACATGGTGTAACGGAGAATCAGGTCAACCCAACAAGAGACCAAGAGTTGGTTGCATTTGGTGCAGTAAACACTGAGAGTTGTGTCCTTCCATCATTGGCTGTTGAGAGAGGACATTCTACTTAGAGTAAGTAGCACTGAAAAAATTTTCATACAAAAGATACTGGACAAGTATTAGCTGATAGTCAGCATGGGTCTGGGACTGAGAGAGCTATATAACACTAGCTTTTTCTTGGTCGCCAGGAAATGCTCTTGATGTTTGGCCTGTCATAGTTTTGGAGCAAAGTGTCGAGTTGGATTTTATATTTACTTAGAAAACCAAACAAGACATGGTTGACATCCAAGGTCTCACTAACTAATGGACTTCTAACCATAATGTTCAGCTTAAACTATCCATATTTACTCTTTCAAAATCCTCGAGAGAGTTATTATCGATTCAAGATGCGATAGTAGCAATCTCGGGTCAGGTTTGCTTAGCAAGCCAGAGTAACTGCCAAACTTTTGCTTGTGGTATAGAGTTCTCTGTAGAGGTTAAAGATGATGTTCTCAATCTATGCTTGTTTATAGTGATTGGTTTTCACCTGTATGCATAGTCCTCGTTCAAAGTGATACCATCATCATCATCCTGTGATAAAAACAAATCTGTAGTGGGTTGGTATTTGGTTTTTCATTTGGTATCAGAAGATGGTAATGTTGTTGGACCACAATAAATAACACAAAAACTTGGTTGGAAAATTAAGGGTCAATTTTTTATTGACACATGTGTGTACTAACTCGGAGATATGCGAGTGGTCAACCTCAAGTTGACATGACATTGAAAGAGGGTGACTGAATCTCCTTTCCTTAGAACTGCTGCAAAACATGTCCAAATCCAATGATTCAAAAGTATCTATACTAGATGATCTCCTTTCCAGAAGTGGGGGTCACAAACTTTGCACATGACCAGAAACCCCTTTTTTCTTTTTCTTATTTTTTTTTCTTTTCTTTTTTCTTTCTTTTTCTTTCTTTTTTCCTTTCTTTCTTTTTTTCTCTTTCTTTCTTTTTTTCTCTTTCTTTCTTTTTTCTCTTTTTCTTTTTTTCTCTTTCTTTCTTTTTTATTTTTTTGTTTCCATTTGCATTATGCATAAATTAAATTATTTGTTTTTTATTATTATATTTATTATTTAATTTTCATTCTCCCACAAACCAAGAAAATTGAAAGATACTTTGCCAACATTAGAGAATTTTCTTTAACAATATCCATTTTCTCCAAGAACACTGTCTCTTCCCAGATGAAGTCATCCACATATACAACCAAAATTTCTATTAAATCTTGTGAATCATGCCAAAAAATACAACTGGATCTACTTTAGAAATGGCACCACTGAGCATCTTCACAAATCTGTCACCTTTTTATACCACTTCAAAGATGCTTCTGTCAATCCGTAGATGCATAGCTCTTTAGTATTGCTCTGGCAATTGATTCTGTTAAAGTATTTTGATTGGATATGGCCACTGGGTATCAGCTGAAATGATCAACTATTGTTAAAATATAATTACATTCTTTATGAGGTGATAAGGGACCAACTACATCAATATGAATATTGCTGAAACACTCATCCAGTTACTGAAGCTGCCAACTTGTGATTTCATTTGCCTTGTGGCATTGTGTTGCTGGAATTTTAATCATTTCTTGGTCCATGTTCACGTGATCTTGTCCATGTTAGGCAATATGAGTCTTACTGTGACCATGCTCACTGTGGCCTTAATGCTATGATGTAACATGTTAAGAAAGTGCCTGAAAATGCTTGTCAAAGTGAGGCTTGTACATAGGATCTTGGCAGTTTAAGTGACATATCACAAAGCACTGTATGGCCACAGACATTTTGACTAGCTTAAGTGTTATTGCATATTGCTTGATGTATAGTGGTATCTTTTCTTTCTTTGACCATGATGTTTTCATGGCTAATATTGCTATCACTTATGAATTGTATATCACTCCTAGATAGAATATCTGCCACTACATTCTGAGGACCTTGTATATGTCTGAGGTTAGACTTAAATTGGGAGATGTAGTCCAATTGACAAACTTCTTGCAGTGAGTAATTGTCCAAGGCATTATGTAAGATGCTTATAATGACAAAATTCTTTCCTTCAAGCAGGTGTCTGAAGTGCTTTATCGCAACATATACAGCCATCAGTTCTCTAGAGAAAGTACTATATTTCTGCTGGGCTTTGTTCATCTTAGCTGAAGGCTGTAAGGCATTCTTTTCCATTTTTAATTTGTCATAGGACAACCCCAACTGCAACAGAAGGGGTGTCTGCCAACAGTGTTAGGGATACATAATTATCAGTTATGTAGCTTGCTTCAATACAGTTTGTAATGGGGAAACAGATAGGGAAGAAAGATTTATTCTCCCATTTGTATTTCCCCCATTATGGGTATTATTATATCCATGATATAACAACACCATAGTTCACAGGTAGGACTGAACGGAAAAGGAATGACAAATATGCTTTGTTCTCAGAAAGACTTTTATACTACCAAGACATACACAAAACTATATATGTGTATATCTACATGTCTCACACGGAGAATAATATATCTACACAGCAAAATAGAGTATAAGGAGAAACAACAATGAAGCACCTTACATATAATATGTAGATATTCCTGTATCTGGAGAAGCCATGTTTAGGACTCCAGATTTAAATATGCCAGATTCATCTATGTCCCAGGTGAGGACATATTCCATGAATGGGAAACAGTGAGTCTTGGGTTTTCCCAGATGGAGGACTTCAAGCTGGAGTTTCTTTCTTTATCTGGGAAAGATATATTCCCAAAGGGAAGTGGCGTTATGGACTTGTAAGTTGCTGGGGAGGCAGATTGAGCCTCTGTTCTGGCCATGAGGGGCCTGGGCTAAGGAAAAACAGCCTTATTGTTTTGCTGCTGTAAAACAAACTGAAATTGTCTGCTGCTATTGTCATTGTATGGAATTATGTCACTAAGCAGCCATCACATGAACCATGTGACTGATCTTCACCAAAGGGAAATAAGCACCTTCTGTATTCCTACAAGTTTACTAAGGCTTCTTTGGTTTATTTAAAAGCTTGAACTTGTTCTGTTGACAATTATATTTTTGTTTTTGTTCTTTATTAAGAGAGTAAATGAAACAAGCAACTGGGAGAGATGTGATTCTTGTAATAATTTAACATTACTACAAAATGTGCATCCTGGGTAAGACAATAAACTATGTCCAACAGAAATGCCTCTGATAATGTTTTGAAAAAATAATGTTGCCAGCTGTATGTTTTTCAAAGAAAGAAAGAAAAAAATATTATTATTACCAACTATACATTTTTGAAAAAAAAAATAGTAATATTACCAGCTATATGTTTTTGAAAAAAAAAAAATAATAATATTAACAGAAATGGATTTTTGACAAATAAAAATATTACCAGGAAAAAAATAGTTGTCAGCATTAAATGACCCATTGAGGTTCATAGGCCATAAAATAAAACAAACAAACTACAAAACATCAAGGTTGACAAACGGAAGTTGGTAATGAAACTGAATGGAATTGACTTTTTCTTTAATTGGTGGACTTCCATCTTTGTCTATTGTGTGTCCAAAGAAGTCAGGTTCTTCAGCTCCTAAAAGACACTTTATGAACTGATGCAGAGTCGGACCTTTACTATCTTTGCAAACATGGTATGCAAATGCTGAATATGTCCACTTTTACTTTTGCTAGCTATTTAGCACATAATCCACATAGGCAAAGACAATATGGAAGATCTCAAAAAATCTCATCCATAAATCTTTGAAAGGCATTTCTATGTCTGAAGAGTGTTCATTTAAATTCTTCTAACCTAAAACATATAGAAACGGAAGTCTTATGAATATCTTCCTCTGCTATAAGTATTTAATATGCCCGCACAAGATCCGATTTTGAGAAAATGGTTGTTCCTTCTTGACTGGTGATGAAATCACTGATTCTGTCTATATTTCTGAGATGAGGTACTATGTACACTATTTAAATTATCTCAACTATTGTCCTCATCTATGTTACCATATTTATCACAACGTTTTGGCCGTCGTATGCTCCAGCCTTCTTCAGGTGTTCACATTCCAACCACCTGAAGAAGACTAGAGTGTACAACAGCTGAAACGTTGTGATAAATATGGCAACATAGATGAGGACAATAGTCCGAATAATGCAAATAGTGAAATCACTGATATTAAAGAGCAGATAGCGATCCTGTATCGTAATGGCATTAAGTCTTCTAAAATCACCACAGAGCTTCCAGGAGTTATTATTATCCTTAGAAACAAGGCGTATGGAAGACGACCAGATGCTCTTAAAAGAGTGTACTCTTTTCAATCTTATCATTTCCTATAAATCCTGTTTAGTGAATTTATAATTGTCAGGCTAGAGTTTACATAGTGATAAATAAACTGAGCTTCCCATGGTGTGTATGTAGTGTCTGGTGTCATGTTTGATAACCATCTAATAGGCATAGTAGTCTGGAGATATTGCCTTATTTATCGTGTTAGTGCGGCAGAGCTGTATGCAGTACAGATACCAGCAACTTATGATTTAGTCTGATTATTAGTTAATTTCTTGTTTGCCATGTTAATCGATAAGTCAAAGTTGGCCAGAAAATTTGCTCCTATAATGGGTGTTTTGATATCAGTAGTTATGAATGTCCACTTGAATTGATACCAAGCAGGTGAAGCTTCTTGCTGTAAATTTTAATGTGTCCCATTAGCTGCTTCCAGTTTTGCAAAAATTCTCTTTACTTCAGGACCGTCCTGGGTAAGACGATAAACTTCAACCAGCAGCAAGGCCCCTGACCAAGTTTTGAGGAGCATGGAACCACCTCTTAATTGCTGGTATTCCCAGGCTCACTCTGACTCGGTGTGGTAGCACCTGTTAGGGTCCCAGCTATGGGCAAATAGTTGACCCTGAAACTGGGATAAAAACACTATGAAAGTGTAAAAATAGGTTTTAATACCAGAAATACTTTGCAAAAAAAAAAAAAAAAAAAATAATAATATTAGCAATATGTTTTTGAAAAAAGAATATTACCAGCAATACATTTTTGATGGAAAAATATTACCAGAAATAGATTTTTGACAAAATATTACCAGCAATAAAAAACTTTCAGCATTAAATAACCCATTGAGGTTTTGATATGCTGTAAAACAAACCAAGCTTTACTTCAGGAGCCGGCAGAAAGATGCTGACTTGGGCTCCAGTGTCCACAAAGAATTTTGTTTTCAGTATGTTGTCAAAAATGAAAAAAAGAGGCAACTCTTGTTTCACTTCAGCTGGCTTTGTTGCTACTGCTAGTTGGATGGGGTGGGGGGATTCTCTGGTTTTGCACCATTCGAAATGAGCACAGTTTAGTGCATCTTTATGCTCGTTAGCAAAGCACCAAAAATACAGCATCTCAACAGGTGCATCTTCTTGTGAAATTGGGCAACATGGAATGGCAATTTTTCCTCAGCTCTTGTTGTTTTACAATGGCTAACTGCTTTGTCAAATCTGTGGCAGTATTTTTTAATTCAGAAATTTTATCAAGTTATGCTGGCTCCCCACGTGTATCTTTTTTGACTATATCTGCAGGCTTGTCTATTTTTTTATCAAACAATGAATATTACTGAACAAGAACATAGTGTGGTATTCCTCTCAGGAACAGGTCTTTTCCTAGTAATCTCCCTTTTGACTTATAATTAATAATCTCCCTTTGTTGCCACTCTCCTAAATAAAATGTAGCCATCTTGTTAGTTCATTAAAACCTTCTAAAGGTCTCACATCTTATCACTTCATATATAATACAAAACAATTTCATTTTAAATATTTCACAAATTGTTATAATGCTCATATAAGCTTGTAGTTCTGGTTAATAATATTCCAAGGAAAAAAGATTAGTGAAGAAACTGTTTAATCGATAGGCTCCAGAGGCGGATATGCAATGTAGTTGGCCCTGCCCTGGCGTCTTGTCTACAGTCACTTTCTCACAGACGCGCCGTCGCCTCCCTCTGTCTGTTCTACAAATACTTTCATGGAAATTGCTCCGAGGAGCTGCATTCGCTGGTTCCCAGACATCATGAGTTCCAGCGCCTTACGAGGCTGGCATCCCACTCTC